AAAGGCGATCCAGCTGCTGCCTCTCGCTGGCACATGCACCAGCGATTACCGGGGACCCCGCGAGCTGGCGGAGACACCCTGGAGCACCCCACAGCCGCCAGCCCCAGGCAGCCTGGCCCCCGGGGTGCTCCCACCCAAAGGATCTGGCCGGGGGGCCGCAGGGGACGGGGCGCCCCTGTCACAGGGCATGCTGGCACGGGGGTGCCGGGGAGAACTGCGACGTGCCCAGGCGCTGAGTGGAGGCTTTGACCCAGTCCGTTAAGGAGCCACCAGCCATGTCCTAGCGCTGCCCCTTGGCCCTCCTGCGCCGCTGGGGTCGTCCCGTCCCTATGGGCTCGGCCGGCTTCAGCCTCCCGATGTTCAAAGTTACCAACTGTCCCATACAGCCTGAAAGCCTAAGCTGAGACAGTGGTAGTAGCAGAGGAGCGTATCTCTCTCCAGCCTTAAGCTTTCTTCTGTTTTAGGACTAGGAGCTTGCTTGTGATGCCATTCAGTACTTTAAAATATGCAAAATGAGGCGCTGGTACAAACCTCATTAACACCCGCCTCCAACATCATTAAGATGTTTCCAAGAAAATTAATTGAGAGACTCATTAAAAATAAATTAAGAAAAATGTGTTGCAGAGCGCCTGCTCTGAGCTCGTAAATCACGGCTCAAAGCTCCAGGCCGCTGCACAGGCAATTAACGCCAGCCAATTTGTTTTATCCTGACTGCGAAAATTAGAAAGCAGACATGGAGATTAGATTAGGGATGTCTGTCAAGCAGAACTTGGAGTGAATATTTTAGGATACAAAATGGAAATCAGGAAAACAAAGCTGGGACTTCATTCGGAGGAGCTGACAGGCAGAGGTGGGGAGCGAGAGAGATTTAGATGTTTTCTGTTTCAAGGAGCGACACCACGGCTGTATGCAGATATACACCCATCTCGCGCTCCCGCTACCAGACAGCTCTCCATTTTCATCTGCGCCTCGCCAGTCCTTTGCGGCTGTGTGCACAGACACCGCCTGCCCCTTTCGGGAAGCGTGAGCTCATATTTAGAGCGCGCTTTGAAGTTGCTGTGTATTACACAGCCTGAACCTACGTGTCGCCTATGTATACGCTGATTACACACTCGGATTAGCAAGCACAGTACAACTGGGTGAGACCAGTGCTTGGGACTTTGTCAGCTTTGTGCCATTAGTACCCTTTTGTCCATCTCCAGCACCTTCCGTCAGAGGATCTCAACCTACTTTATATTCATGAACTGAACCGCAGCGCCCTTCTGCAAAATGACCAAGTGTTATTATCCCCATTTTGCACAGGGAAGCCGAAGCAGAGGTAAGTTAAGGTCTTGCTTGTAACTGTGTGAATGCACAAAAAGCAGCTTGTGCAGCAGCAGGCATTATATTCGCACATACCAGCAGCGTGTGGGACAGACCGACGGCTATTTGTGCAGCCAAACGTCCAGCCACGACTGCGGCAGAATCAGCCATGGTGCACACGAGGGGGCAGTTTGCAAACATCCACACCGGCAGCTAACAAAAATGCAGGTCAGTGCCCTGCCTGTGACCAGCCGCGGAACAGGAACAGGCGTGGAGCGACCCGGCAAGGTGGTGCTGGCACAACGCCACCTCTTCCTTCTCGCGTGGCCCCCACGCCCGGGAGCCGGGGGGCAGCTCCACTGGTGAGGGGCCTGCGTGCGGCGCTGCCAGAGCTTCGGCTTCTCAGAGTGAGCTGATGCTGGACGCCTCCCGGGCTGGGTATTATTCCCCAGCAGCCATCCTAAATGGCTGGTTTTTAGAAAGCAATGATCACGCTTTTGCACATGGGAAACAGGAAAATCCCCTAGACAGGGCAGGTTTTAAATCCTTATTTTCTTTGCTTCCTTTTCTCACGTTGTCTAGACATGTCCGATGCTCACGTCGTGAGGTCCAACTCCATAATACGCCTGATGGCTTTGGGTGGTATTTCAAAAGGAAAACTCTCCAAGTAAGTAAACTGTTTAATAGCTTAGAAGCCTCCTCCTGCATTTTAACCTGCCGTTCTCTGACAGCCCCTTCCTTACTGTCCCCTCCACAGACGGAGGGAATGCCGTCTTTGTGCAGCCACTGTGTGTCAGTTCAGTTAAACGTCAGTATTTAACGTGTATGCGGATAACATACGCCGCCGTGGAATCCTGTCTGCTTTTGACCAGATACATCTACTGGCACCAGTGTGGGTCAAGCCCACTGGTGGAATGGTTTGGTTTTGGTTTTTTTCCAGTGTGGTATTTCTATTGGAAGCACCTTCTAACGTAGGGAACTTCTGCCTTCCCACCAAATGTGAGCCTGCACATTGGCGCACACGCTTTCCCCCAGCCCACCCCAAACGCTGCCTCGCTCCGTCCATGGGGGTTCCTGGACTGCACGGTCTCTGTACCAGCGCCCAACATGCTGCAACTGAGCAAACGGAAAGGAAAAACCAGTTTAGAGTAAAACCCAGATGGTATTACTTTAATATGAGCAAGGTCTTGGAGCACGCAAAGAAACACAGAGGGTGGTGACTCCTCCAGCAACTGCAAGGCACCTATGTGAGAGCAGATGGTATTATTTTTACCTAACAAATGGAAGAAAACAAAGAAATGACTGATTAAATCATCGACGACAAATTCATGCACACAGCGACGGGGCGACAGCAAAGGAGGCGTCCCAGCACTACAGAGACTGGATGCTGTGGCAGGCCAGGTGCAGGCGGAGAACATCAGGTCACTGCAAAATGTAAAATCCTGCTTTCAGGAGCAAAGCACAGACGCCGCTCCCGCAGCGCAGAGACCTGTCCTGGGAGCGCGGGCTTGGTGGAAGCCGTGGCGGTCTTGGAGATTAATCAGCGGCTTGTGGGTGCTCAGTGGAAGCTGTGGGCTAACGAGTCAACACGATCGCTGGTTAGGGACAGGCACATCGCAACGAGGAGCCGCGGTCATTTGGTGGCGGCGGGGGGCTGCCGG